ACACTGTGAAGTTTATTAACCCTCGTAAGTTCCTCATTTTCCCAACTTAATTTCTTTCTCAATGTCAAATTGACCCAGATAAATCGTTAAGTTTGCAAATTCTTCAAAGTAAAAATCACGAAGCATAATCTAAATTTACCTACACAGAATAACGTCATTTTTTAGGAGAAAACTGTGTCAAATTGACACAAGGGACGGATGGGGGTTAAAGTCGTCGTTATTTTCACGATCTTGGTCCCACAGTCCTTGCTTTCGTTTGCCGACGGAAACGGCAACGGTGACGCAGCGAATTAATTTCGCCGTAAGCTCGTCGGAAAATTGAGTTTTCGCGAGCCACGCGGAGACCGGAGGACAGGATCGATGGCTGGGGACGTGTCCATTCGGTGTAACTAACATTCTGTAATACTCTGTATGCGTGTCGTTGTAACGTGGTCCCCGTAATAATCTCGGGCCGACGTTATTATCGCTTTAATCGCGAGGATTATTTCACTTTCGCGTCAAATCTCCTCTCGGTTTTGGCTTCGGTTTCGGCCTCTCCCTCGATGCCCGAGAGAGAGAGAGAGAGAAATCCTGGTGTCCGGCCCGCGCGTAATTTCTGACCGCAGGCTGAAAATTCCACGTAACCCAGTGGTTCTCGTCCCCTGGTCCCCAGGATTCTTCGAAATTCACCCGAACCAGAAGCATTGCTCGTGTTTCCTGGACAAGAATCTCTGCACAACCACTGAGCAAAATACACACAGGATCCTCCTTGTTTTCCGCCGTAGAGACTCGCGTCCCTTGGCCACGGATTCGTTAATTTACTTCGCGCGCGGATATACGATCCAGGTCCGTATTTCGACCGCAAATTCGCGGCTTCTCCCTAGGCGTGCACTCCTCCGGCAGCGATAATATCGTGGAATTTCGTGGACAATTCGAGGGAACAGATTTAGAGAAAACTCTCATTTAGGGAAGATTCTCTGTGTGTTGATACAACGTTCATTACGGTACCGACATCCTCGACATTGTGGAATTGAGGGGTTCAGTGGAAAGGAGACTACATCTACATCGGTTTTGAATTTTTTTTTGTATCCTCTACAAACTCTAACCCTATTTTAAATAGAGAATCTCCGATAGAGAATCAGAGAGAAGAGACGTATCTTGTATATGTTGTTCGTTAATGTCATACAGTTTTATTAATAAACATTGTTCAGTATAAGCTATCATATATATTCAATAAATATTGTAACAGTATTGTGAAGTGTGCACCTCTTCCACTAAACTCTTCAATTATCAATAGGTGTAACAAAACGAGGTATTAAAGCGTGAACATAAGAGTGCAAGGCTCTAATTTCGATGATCCTTGTTATTACGTGGCTACCGCGGAATCGGTTTTTTTTGTCGATCGATCGATCGCCCCCGAAAGCGTGAAAATTGTCGCGGGCAGGAACAGGAGGCCTCGGAGTATCGGTCGATGGCACGATACCGAACCGACCGACGCGACGCCGACATTGGTCCCCCCAACCCCTATTAATCGAGAGGTTTTATTGGTGCACACGAGCCAGCCGCGTTGGCTGACCTACGACCGGCAACGGTTAATCAATGCTTTTATGAACATTCGCTCGTCGGCACGGAGCGTCGTTGCAAACCACCCCCGCTACCCACTCGAAAACGCCTCTCTCTCTTATTCTCTCTTGCATACCTACTAGGATAGATTCTTCTGTACAGGGGGTGTTCGATTCGATTTTTCGGAAAGTCGATTCCCTTGGGTAACACGTCACTGGCATGTACAATATATACACTGACGGATAAAATTGTGGGACCAGGTCTGATAATTAAAGAAAGGGGTGAATATTATTCTACACAGAATTATCGAAGGTAACGTGTTATAACTGATGGGAAGTGATTTGTATGTGTATTAAATTTGTAAGTTTCATTTTAACGAGTTACTGTTCCACCAATCATGGACTCTGGTCCCATACTTTTAGCTGTAAAAATCACGTGACAATAAACCACGACATTGGTGTACATACACTGTCCTACAGTGTCACGACAACAGAAGTCTTAATGTATGTGTTACACATAGCAGTGGTGTCTTCGATCTGGAATCGAACATCCCTACTCTGCAGTGCAACGATTACAATAACCGCGACACATTTCCGCTTCGATATCGGAAGTTTCCGTTCCAGAGACACGCGAGAGTGTTCCGTTGCTCGCGAGACGGAAAATTCACCAGTGATTCTGTCCCCTTCGCCAACCGTGCGTAAACGCCCGATACCTGGATAATTTACTTAGTTTACGCATTAATGTACGTTTCGCTATGCATTAGGTCATATAATATAAATTGCGGCCGGCCAATTTGATTAATGCTATTTCGGTAATCGATGCATTAAATAATTACGAGTGCGAGAGAGTGTATAGAGCACGGGGGGGGGGGGGGGGGGGAGCTAGTTCGCGAGGTCCAAGAGAATAGTTTCCATCGGAAAACGATCGACGTAAGCCGGCGAAAAAGGCGCGAGGAACGCGCGCGCAAGCTTTTTCCCATCGAGGTCCCGTCGTTGCACGCGACGAGCACACGTCTGCTAAGCCTGCCAACCCCCTTTTGCTCTCTTCCCAACCCTCCACCGCCATACCGTTCACCCTCTTCCCTCCCGATCCCCCGTGGGCTATTTATTTTTCTCATCGGTTTTAATTTCGTAGAGACAACATAGATGCGTATCGGCCGTCCGCGGCCGCTGCGTGCAGCTACATATACCACCAAGGCCATTGTGCGCAGCCATTGTGCACCGTACGTCCCGAATGGATGTTACGCCGCTGCTATCGGGATCGGATCTCCGCTCGTTCAGTTTATTAATTGCGTTATAGCAAGTGTGTAGTGGTTCAAATTGAAAAAAAAATCCCCGGGTACAAAGAGACTCTCCCGGTATCTTCCGTATTCTCCTTTACTCTTTGGATCCTGCTTTGTCGTTCTTCCTTCCGTTTTTCAGGTGCAATTCGAGTAGAGTCTAATATTAGGGGATGTTTTTCACCACCAGGAACTCGTGGAAGGACCCTTTAAACGTAATCCCCTTAAAAAAAATTGTCATTTAATCAAGAGGAGTCGAATGCACTCTGTCTTCGATGCAGATCGACTGCGAACTGTACCGTAATTATTAGGAAAGGTTCCGAAAGGGTCGCGAGAGCAACGCGCCCCGATCAATCGTACGAGGAATGGCGGCCTCGGAATCGTTAAAACAATTATACAATTACCGCGGGCTCGTAATTAATTGGCCGGCCGTTTCTACCCCGGGCCTCGTGCAGTCGGGCGGTAGCGCGCAAACCGAAACCGGACGCGCTCTCGCACTCGTCCGCGCGGTATTAATTCATTAACGTACCCGCCGTCAAACGTGTATTTGCCCGTAAAATTGAACCCGGTTGCGCGAGCGCGCCGCGTGTTCGCGATTATTTGCTTAGCCAATTGCCGGCCAACGATCCTCCACAGCTGGGGGAGGGTGGTCACTATGATATTCCACCTGATTTTCAGGGGGTAGGTCTCTGATATCGAGAATTACTACCCCCCGCCCCACCCCCCAACGATTGGAACCGTCTCAAGGGTGATGACGAGGAGAAATAGAGAGAGAGAAGGGAGGGGGGTTGGGGGTTCAAACAGATATCCTGGTATCGGCAACCGCCAACCGCTGCCCGCAACACGACGGTGCAGTTGCAGTTAATTTGCTCACTCCAAGTGTGTTTGATTCCCCTAATTAATTGATCGGTAGGGTCACCGAGAGACTCTGCGCGTATATACGGATGGCAGTAATCAAGTACGTGCCCCTGGTGGTACCGGAGCTACGCGCTGCTACCACGCTTCGCGGACGAATAACCTGCTCTCGACTACCCGCTGAACGTCTTTCCACGATTGTTGATGTTGCCCGAGGCCACGAACCAACCCCTTCTTTCGAATGGAACCGCGATTAATTTTTGCGAGCTACGGATTATGTTACCGATCAACCACCGTAAAACCATTAAATTACCTTCTAAAATTATCGAATATGCCGCCGTACTCTGCCAAAACAATATGTTTAATTATAATTGATCGAACATGCATACTCAATTGCATTAATCGCGACCCATATCGGATTCCAACCTCATCGCATCTTTTTCCAAACTGTTCACGGCTCCGAATTCGTACTTTCCGAACCTCGATGTCCCAATCATCCGGCAACTATCCTTACGGCTGCTTAAATAACCGGGACCGACGGGATCGGGCAACACTGCCATGAAATCCATGTCATTTCCATAAAACTCGCGGCACGGCGATGGAGATCGTGGGCTTACAGCTAGTAAAATACTATGGAACATCGGGAGACGCGCCTGAACACCGCGAATGGCTCTGGAAAGTCGTTCGCAGGCTCGTAACCGGAATCGTAATGACGTGGCGGCGGACGATCTCGAGCCGGTCCCAGATCGATCGAGACTGGTGACGCCACGCTGTTCGTCCAGCGATCGAGAAAAGTATATATTTACGAGACAATGTATATGTTTACCGAGTGTAGTGTATAACTGTAAGTCAATTTCGTCTCACTACCGTCGTACAGGCATACAAAGCTTCATTTTCATCCTAATATTTAGCCAACCGAATGAAAAGATCCAATTTTGAAGTAAGTAAATAGAGATCTACCACTTTTTCCTTAGCGACGCGTTGCCTATTGTTTCGTACATAAACTAATCTGTTTCGAACGTTAACACACTTTTAAAAAATACTAAAACACGTTACATCTACTCTTACAACGACGATTAAAATGTTCTGACAATACATTTTCTCAGATCTTTTGCACCTGTTATTACGATAGGAAAGTGAAGAAATTAGTCAATTTCCAAATTTCTAAATTTTCAAATGTTTTTCACGTTTATCCACCGATCGAAGCAAATATGCGTTTATCGGCGGTAGGTCTACTGTTAATGTAACTTTTCTGTACAAAATGGCTACGTCCAAATAAATAAATAAAAGGATGACGGACACACACACATACACGCACGCTTACCCAAATGCCCGTTCTCGTAGTAATCCCCGTTGTCCATTCTGTGCTTCTTCAACGAGTGCTGGGGATGGTGACCGGTCGCCGCGGCCAGGTGGCTGGCTGCTAGGCTCAGACCGACGGAGGCCCTCTTCGGTGGTCTTCCTGGCCTGGAGCTGTACAGTGGTAGAGAGTTACTGTGGTTAGAGACACCTGTCATCGAGGTAACGTCTTACCCCGATCCGCGTGCTCGCGACGTGTGCACACGTCGTGAGTAGAATCGACTCGCGAGAAAAGACCTGGTCCTTTTTAACGATTCCCTTAGACACTGATAAACTTTTGGAGTACACCGTCGACCAATGGATCGTGGTGGACATCGTTTGTAAGGGTTTCGACGGTCTTTTCTCGCGATTCGTTCGGTCGCATCGGCCGGTCTGGGTTACGGGTCCAGGCCTCGATACGAAGGGAGGAACCAGGGTACACGGCAGAGGAGGATACTCGATCACCGAGTTCTCTGAGCCGCGGCCTAGGAGCGTCGTCGATTAGTTTACGAGCCAGAGCGCGCTGGTTTCGAGAACTGGTTCTACACGGGCGACCCGGCACGGAGGCAGCGAAAATTCACGATTAGCGTGCGCGGTGCGTTGTCGCGAGGCGAAAGTGTCCACGAGTTACGGAGATACGGGCTAATACGTAGTGACGGTGCCGCGATAAACCTAATAGAGGGGAAGATAAAGGAGCGCGTGGGACGACAAAACGCGCGAAATAGGCTGAGCATTTGCGTAAGTTATCGTCACGAGAACTTTATGATCCTCGTCAGAGGCGTCTGTCTCAAGAGGCAACCGTGGGGCCCCGGAACAACGGGTCGGTATCCCCACCGGAAATCGGGTTCCCACTGTTCTCAGCGGGTCAAGAATGAGAGCTCGAGATGAAACGTTTTTTTACCGAATTATAACAGAGTCTCGAAGGACTCGAAGCTATTCAAGAAGGTAGAGCAGTGTATAGACCCCAACGTAGAATACGAAAAATCGAAGGCAACTATTCTGAACGTACCCTATACTCACTCACACACACACATACATACACCGTGAAGTGTGAATGTACGCATTCCCGCGTGATTGAAGCTTTTACTCTCGCCGAGGAAACGCCTGAAACACGTTGTTCCCGCGGCCAGGATATCTTTTCCCTCGGTCCCGATATAGCGCCCTGGCGCCTTTCAGTGTCTCTCAAGCGAAATTCGTCCTCCGCGAGCATGCCGATCCACGGACATAATATCTTCTTTAATTCTCGGAGATCCTCTCAAGCTGTCCGGTACTAAGCGTGTCGTGTCTAGCGAACGACATTGACGCTCCATAAAGCAATCGAGGGGAGGCCAAAAAATCGAAGCCCCCAGTAAGGTTAAAAACGAGTTTTCCCCGATATTTTATATCCAGACACGCCGCCCCGAAGAGAATCCTCGCCGTCGGTTGAGCATCTCTGGCTCCGGTAAGCGAGCAATCTCATAGTAGTCAGGACAGATTTGTAAATCTAATTTTTCATCCCGTCTTTCTGCCTGCCCTCTCGCTCTTCGCCTCCTTCGTTGCTCCACCGTTCTACTCCCCTCCACCCTTCGTCGTTCGGTGTGCTCTCTTTCCTCTCTCGATCCATCGGATCCCTCTCGATCTCTCGTTCACGGTTCCACTGGCGCCCTCCCACTCCCAGTCCTCTTTGCGTTCCTCCTCGTTCTTCGTGGCCCGTTCCCGTCACCCTCTCTCGCTCTCCCACACCTCCCACCCCCTTTCCGCCCTTGTCTCTCCTCCTCCTCAGTCTTTTCCGCCGCCTTCTCTCACGCACGAGATCTCCAGACGATTCTCAGACGGCCGGTTTATACGGCGTTGATCTCTTAAACCGCTTAGCTTCGGGTTACACCGAAAACAAGAACGCACTCTCGGAACGCTTAGACCCCGCATAATACGTACTTGTTTGCGTATACGGGGTTCCGCCGAGCGGGAATAAGAAAAGCCGCGGCGACGGACCGAGATCGACGCGATCACGGGCGGCCTCCTAAGCGATCGTCTCTTGTCGATCCGTCGTGGTGATCGACGCTACGAATGGACGTAAGAAGCAACCCCCCTAGAGTCTAGAGCACAGCTTCCCAAACTTTTTCGACTAACCGCCCCCTTTTAAAAATTCTTCTTTTCCTTAGCGCCCCCTACGGCTAAACTATATCTGTTATAAAAATTTCCAAGTCCAGTTGTGCGTTTAATCTTTGAATCTTAAAAAGTTAGACTGAAAATAAAGACATCGAAATAACTAGAATGCCCCCCTAGATCTCGTCAGTGCCCACCGGTGGGCGATAGCGACCACTTTGGGAACCTATGGTCTAGAGAAAGAGTTTTGAATAGGGAATCAAAGATAAAAAAAAAGTACTTCATCATTTGTAATCGTTTAAACGTGGAATTTCCAATTTTTATAATCCATCGAGGATTTACTGTACTTCGTAGCGATAAAGCATAAATTTCACTCGATCGGACTAATTTCTTACCGGTCGATATACCTCACTCGATCGTTATCATTTTACAAATATTCCAAATGCCTACACACGAACACTCCACGAATAAATCTTCTCGTTTCGTCGAGAATCCAAAGGTCTCCTAGTCTAGAATGAGAGAGTATGTACGAAACATTCCTCGCGTTGGCGGTCGATCGACCGAGACGTAATTCTCGGAGGGAAAATCGCGCGCGGATATCGAGAAAGCCGAGTTGCGAAATCTCGCGTCCGGGGCGCCCGATAAAGTCGAAGCCGTGTAAGTACGATCGTTGGCCAAGAGATCGCCAATACTCGAACGGACGGCCCGGTAATTCGCGTAGTTGCGGCAACAGCGGCGCTCGGTACCCGCGAGCTACCAGAGATACATTTCAGTTTCGACTCTAGAAGGAAAATTAATCCCCCCCCCCCTCCCCATTGATGCCGGGGCCTATCCCCGCGAAACAGGATACCTGAACGCAATGATTACCGGCCCCGTTTGGCGCCGATCTGTTTTTTTTTTTTTGTTTGTCCGTTCGGGATCGCGCCAAACGGTTCACCGGTCCAAGACGGTAATCAGGGCTGAGAATCGGGAGCGAACCGCGCGTGCACAACGGAGACGAAAAGTTCTTGATCGGCCGATCGATTGCGTTATGAGCTCGAACGAATATATACGAGTTCGAAAAATTGAATACGAAACACACACGTCGGATAACGCAACCGAGTGGAACGCGTCGAACCGTACGACGGCCACCATAGAATTATTACTTGTTAGTAAAAACATTTTATTACGTCTGGTGGCTGGCTGGTTTCCTCCGTGCGATTTATACCGTACAGTGAACTGGTCTCGTTTCGGTGAAGTTTTGCGAGGGTATTCTGTCTACCGTGGTTTTCTATAATCGTCTGACTATCGATACTTCCGGATAACGTCGGGCGATATTTCTAGTCGCCAAGAATACCGATATCGATAAGTTCACGTAACCGTAAATTACGATGTTACCGTCGAGGATATTTTGTCGATCGTTCGCGAAAGATTGAAATTATTTATGGGGGGAGGCTTCGAGAAAAACGGCGCCTTTACTTATCATCGATCATCTACAAACTCCCGTCGATCTCGGATCGGCCCGGTTAGGCGGGTAACAGCGATCTAGATCGATCGAAGAAGCGACGCGAGACGGGACGGTCGATCGATCGATTAGATCCGTCTCTCTGTTTTCGCTTCTCGATCCGCGCGTCCGGTCCAACTATATATCGCGTGTGGGATTCGCGATGATCGCGCGCCAGGTGCTTCGATTCGATCATTCCCCGCCTTAATGATCGTTGCACCAGCGAAGCAGCGGGGCCGTGCGTTCGACGGACGAGATCGAGACCGGCGTCGAAAGGATTCGGAGGCCCCAGCCTGCGAAAAATGAGGGAAAGGGAAGAGGATACCGCGGAGAGGAATTGCAACCCATTCTCACGTGATGGGCCGTTTAGGGACCGTCCCGAAGTTCGTCCCCTTGGATCGTAGCGTTACTACCTCTCCTGTGTGTTCCCGTTTCTCGCCCAGTCGGCAAAAAAAACGTTACGAGCATCAGGACGATAAACGCACGTTCCGGTGTGGAAGTTTCATCCATCTCGTCGATGAATGACACACGTATACCGAGAATAAAAAGAAAAGAAACCACGTCCAATTTCTTGAATCACCTTGCGACACAATCGGTGGTGAAAACGACAAATTTATAATAAAAATTTTATGAAACGGTAAATACGATTACAAGTATCATTTTAGGAAACGGTTCCACCGAACCGGTTGAATCACACCACTGGACACAAGCCGACCGAATCGTCGAAATTCATAATATCGTTGCCTGGCAGAAGCGGTGTGTCTCGATCGGGAGAATGATCGTTCATCGGATACAGATGAAATTCGATCATCCACGGAAAAAAAGATTTCGCAAGAGAGAGAGAGTTGAAGAGAAGGGGGAGAGAGAATGAGAGAGACGAAGAAGAGGAAGCGAGCGACCATAAATTGTCAATTTCGAAGTCAATTTGCCCGGGCTTACCAATCGGCTGCCGGTTAATTTCAAGGTGAATTGTGTCCAATATGGGTATATTATTAATGGCCCGGCGAGGGATAGGGTGCACTTCGTGCGGAGGGTTGCAACCCCGTTTTCGCGCACTGGCCGAATCTATCGCTCCGGGGCTGCGCCGCCGATACATGCACGTTCTCTCTCTCTCTCTCTCTCTCTCTCTTGTACTCAGCATTCCGGATTAAATGCTCTCTGATGTTGTTGCAGCAGTTGTCGCTACACCTAGACACATACGTGCACTCTCGAACATTGCTCGAGCCTCGACTGCGACCTAATCGCGATTTCCAGCCGAGGATACAACGAGGGTCGATCTCGAACGTCACCACACTTCCGGATCCTCTTGGGGCCCTCTATCGACCTGGCCACCGTGTATATTTGTACCTTGGAATTCTTTAGGCCAGGTCGTTTCACGATCTCGACAAAGAAGCCACTGTGTTCGGGGCCGCGTTAAACAACGCAGCGCTATCTTTGAATTACGACGCCTACGAGCGCGTTATCGCATCCTGCTACCGTTCTGCGCCGTTCAAACAGACTGCCGAAAAACGCGGGAATTCCTCGGGCCCCCGTGCGCGACGGAATTGTAACTGGCGGATAAAAAACG